AACAAGTTATCAAATAAGTTTAAAAGGATAAATTTAAATTATGTTCACAATTCAAATTCAAATTCAAATTTAAATAATCACATTATTTAAATAATAATTAATTCTCAATTAATTATTTTCGAGTGTTTAATTTTAGAATTTTATAATTCTAAAATTCCCATTTTGCCCTTTGTGTCTAGTAGAATTACAAGGATGACGCGGGGACTAATGGACCTATAAACCCGAGCTCTAATGAAATTAATAATTAATTAAACACTTTAATTAATTAATTAATTCCATTAATTCCAATAGTTACTCCACTATAAACTTGGAATTGCACTCTCAAAATTATAGACATAAATTACTTCTAAACTGTAAAGTGTCCATTTGATATAGTCACTGCATATAGATCAATCCTCCATAAATAATTCATAATTATCTACTTCTTTCTTAAGAAGGAATGGATTCCATCTCGTGTAATAACATTCCCGGCTACCTACTTCATCATGTCTCCAAAATACAAGGAATAGGATTCAGGATCTCAGAATCCGTACCGAGTAAATCAAAAGACACAAATCCATAAATAGGAGTCTGTTAAGAACTAAGGATTAAGATCATTCTATATATGACCATCGGTAGACTCAATTAGAATTTCTATACTTAACGGAAATTATTAGAAAATTATATTGTGTCTGTATCCCTGTTCCACATAATCTCATTTTGCGTAATACACTCATTCAATATCTCACTATATTAACGGTGCGGATAACATCGTTCCATTGTAAATGAAAATGATATGTATTAATGATGTTTTAATTAAAGATTCCAAACTTTAACTAAATTCATTACGAACATCTCCTTCTGATTATTATCCTCTCGCATATAACACTTATATACAATGTTTAAGGTCACATAGATAATCACGGAATTTTCATTTGATATTCATAAAATATTCATAAATATATGCACATAAAATGATGAATAAACTCTTTTATTAAATAAATAATAAATATCCTATTACATCTCGTGCTTCTAGGACACCATTCCCAATAATATTAACCCTCAGTCCAGCCAATCTCACGGGCCAATTATCTATGGGTCAGGCTGAGTCATGTCATAGGTCATTACTGAATCAGCTCATATGAGCTTATTTATGAGTCAGAATGGGCTGGCTCATCTTAGCCCATCATGGGTTTAGATAGGTCAGTCCATCTTGACATGTATTTTGTCAAATATTTTTATTTTTTTAAAAATATATTTATTTTAAAACTTCTTAACAAATTAACAAATATATTAATCTAATTGGTTAATGATATAAAAAGAAATATTTTATTTTTGTGTCTCTTTAAAAATCATTTCAAGAAGAACCCACAAATGGAACAAAATCTAGATGAGGATAAAAGAGTACATTCGCAGCAATTGAACATAAGATGTTTATAAGATTACTAAATAAAATTAAACAAACAAAAAACACATAAATAAACATAAAAATAATTATTTTTTTATAATTACAATGTACAACTAGTGGCAGTATCACAAATATCTAAGATCACATCTAAACATGACTTTGTATATATATTTATATATATATATAACCAAGGTATTATAGTAAATATTTTATAAAAACTACTATGTGTATTATACATACATATATATATATATATTACAAGTGTTGGTTTTTGAATCGAATTTGAGTGCGAAAGCGTAGAAACATGGAATGTGTCCGAACAAAAAAAAGTCATAAAACTTTTGATAACGCTATAGAATATATTAATTTACTCAATAATAAATTAATCATATAAATTTATAAAGATAGATTCCTAGTGAACGATTAGGTAAATAACTTGAGGTCTTTGACCACGAACAGTCCAAGCTCCAAACTTTCTTAGAAAACCTGAATCTTCCTCGTCTAGTGCTTGAAATCTGTAAGACGTAGAGTGTGGGCTTTAATATGGAACTATCAGATTATGACCACATGTTATTTTTCTATTTTACCACTATCAACAAATGTATGTGATGAAACTAGGAATTGGAAGAGCTTTTATTCTCTTTTTCTCTCTGGTTACACAGTTGTCACTAGAATGTTGCACGCTGTCAAACAGAATGTTACACTCCCATAAGAGCTACGCTACACGCCTATCTCATAGGGAAATGGAGGAAAAATTGTGTTCTCTAATTTTCTATTGTCTCCTATTTATAGAACATTAGGAGGACCCCTTTGCTTTAACTTGAAGACAAAGTAATAGAAAATTGGTTATTTTAAATCTCATTTAAAATACAGTTTCCCATTTAATTTTGAAAAAAAAATTCTCCCTTCCCTTTTATTACATGACCAGCCACACCATTGGGAGATCTCCTTGTGGTTGGCGCAAATAGCAGGTAGGAGAAAGGAAAAAATTTAAATAAAGTCAAACTTTGCATTCCTTCATAATTCGATTGTAAAACTTATCAAACAAGTAAACCAGATATCTTGGAGAACAAGCAATTGAATCCCAGTGGGATTCTCCCTGTTCCACATGGCCCCTACAGCTCCCTATACTGGGTGTGTGGCCTCTTGTGGTCCCACCATAGTGTGTTCTAAAATTAATTTAATTAAATAATCACATTATTTATTTCGAGTGATATTAAATCCCAATAATTCATCTTGTCTTGCAAATATTACAAAGATGACATGGGGACTCATGAACCTATAATTTGGAGCTCCAATAAAATTAAGAATTAATTAAAATCTTTAATTAATTATATTAATTTTAAAAGTTAATCCACTAAAAACTTAGATTTACACTCTCGAAATTATTGACATAATTTACTTCTTAGAACTTGAAGTGTCCATTTGATATAGTTACTGTATATAGATCAATCCTCCATGAATAATTTATAATTAGAGGTAGGTGAAATTCGTTAACTTCTCTAATTACATATTTATCCTTGAGTACCATCGATTCTCTAATGAATAGTGATTCATAAAACACATTCACGAATCAGAGCTCTTACTAATCCAAGTACCGAATCAATCCTCAAGGAAATTATTTATCTGCTTCTTTCTCGAGAAGAAATGGATTCCATCTTGTAATATTCACATTTCCATCTACCTATTTCTTCATGTCTCTAAGATACAAGGAATATGATTTAGAATCTGAAAATCTATACCGAGTAAGTCAAAAGACTCAAATTCATAAATAAGAATTTGCTAATAACTCATGAGTAAGATCATTCTATATATTACCATATGTACTCAATTATTATTTCTATACTTCATGAAAATTATTATAAATTAATACTGTGTATGTGTCCTAGTCCTACATAATCTCATTATGTAAAACACACTCATTCGATATCTCTCTATATCAACGAGGCAGATAAGCTCATTCCATTCTTAATGGGAATGACATGTGTTAATAATGTTTTAATTAAAGATTCTAAACTTTAATTAAATTCATTACGAACTAATTTTGATTATTATCCTTAAATACAATCTTCTAGTATATAACACTTATATACCATATTTATGGTCACATAAATAATCACTGAATTTTTAATAATATTCATAAAGTATATAACAAAACATGCACATAAATAATGAAATTTCTATTTTATTAATTAAATAATAAAATCCAAAATCACATCTCATGCTTTTTGACACTATTTCCAACAAAAAGTTGGTCCAAAATAAGCTTTGGATGGGTCGAGATAGGCTGGCCCATTGCGGGCCCAAACGAGCCTGCCTGGCCCAACCTAAATTTGTCATGGCCCATGAATTTTTACGGGCTGTGTCGTGCCAGTTCATGAGCTGAGGTATGCCGACCCAACCCAACCCACTAATATTAATAGATTAGGTCATGCCTTAAACAATGTCGTATGGGCCCAACATTGTATCAGGATGGGCATGAATCTTGCCGCAGCCCATAGTTGCATCTCTAAATTTTTGAGCTATGAAATTTTCATAAAGTTATATAAAATTGTCACATTTTTTAACCTAACTTGATTATGGTGTAAACTAAGATATTTTCATAAAGTTGTATAAAATTGTCACATTTTTTAACCTAACTTGATTATGGTGTAAACTAAGATCTTAAAAATTGTATCGTATTGGTAATTTTTTATTTTTATTTTTTAAAATTTAAAATTGAGAGAATTTAAACTCTATATATTATGGTGGAGTTACAAATGAAGTTACTACTAAACTATTCATGCAATATTAACCTCAGTAATATTTTTCTCATCCTTTACTGAAGTAATATTTTCTAAAAGAAAGAGATAATTTTGTAGTAATAAAAGTGTAAAAAAGACAATGTTGGTATGATAAAGTTAAACCGCGATAAGATCATATTAGAACCACATTTTTTTTCGTTTTAGAAAAGTATGAGAATGAACTTGATGAACGTATGATGAATATTATTAGTGGTGCAATACATAGATAAAATATTGCCTTAAACAGATTTATATTTATAGAGAAAAAAGAAAACTGTATTCCGGATTGTAGAGTTAATATTTTTCCTTCAAAAAAAAATTGTAGAATTAATTAATGCGGGTAGATAGGGAGAAGATAGGTGAGAATAGTCAAGAAAAGAAAAATCAAAATTGGTTACTTGAAGACGAAGCATGGAATATATTGGGAGAGGGAATAGATAGGAGTTAATTCAGAAAAGGCGAAGCATATAATAAAAGGGAATTTAAAAGTGAGGTAGGAAGAAAGGAAGAAATTCTAGTCAAATTTATGAAAGTCAACGTTCTTGTGAGACAGCAATCCGCTACTTAATTGCTAGTTGTACTTCACCCAAAGTCTACCATTTCTATCACTTCCAATACCCCTAAACCCAAAAACCAAATAAATAAATAAGTAAATAAAACAAAAAGAAGAAAAACCCCTTATATTTCTTGTATTCATTTTAATTTTAATATTTTTAATCCCATCCCTTCACATAGATTCTCTCTCTCTCTCTCTCTCTCTCCTCGCATAAATATCCATCATCACTTCCAATCACCCCAAGCTCAACAAAGCTCTTTTCACAAACTTTTCTCTCTATCTATCTCTTCTTTTTTTAATTACTTCTCTACTTGATCTATATAATCATATTCTACATAGTACATACAAATATCTTTCCACCAAACTCTCTCTCTTATAGCCCTTAATTGTAGTTCATAACCTTGCCCTCTTTATATTATATCATCATATCATTATATATATATATATTATAGCTATATATATAGATATAGATATGGTGGTGCCCACTCCAATTTACCCAATTCATAACGAGAAGATCAACGATGCCATTGAGCTTCCCACCATTGATCTTTCATGCCCCGAGAGATCAGAAGTCTCGCGGTTGATCGTCAAAGCTTGTGAAGAGTTCGGTTTCTTTAAGGTTATAAATCACGGTGTCCCAAACGACATAATAACCAAAATGGAGCAAGAGAGTTTGAACTTCTTTGCCAAACCAATGGCAGAGAAACAGATGGCAGGCCCTGCAAAGCCTTTTGGTTATGGCTGCAAAAACATTGGCTTTAATGGTGATATGGGAGATGTTGAATATATTCTTCTCAATACCAACCCTCTCTCTATCTCTCACTGCTCCAAAATCATCTCCAATAACCCCACAAGCTTCAGGTATTTTATTCTATATTCTCTCTCTCTCTCTCTCTCTCTCTCTCTCTATATATATATATATATATATGATATGTTTTTGTTTGAGAGATATTTTTGCATTTGTAATGTACATGTGTATATATTGGCCTCTAAGTTTCAGATATATTAGAGAATGTGGTACTTTTCATAGATATTAGTGGTAGTAGGTGCATCCGTGCATGCATAAAAAAAATCTCTTAGGGCTAATAAGAAACTTTATGATATAAACCCATTTATAATTATATTGGATCTGTTTGACCATGTATGTATTTTCTTCTTTTCTTCTTATAATATGTAAGTTATTTTTTGATTTGGACTTGCTCACACAAGTTTCTTGACCCAGCATATTATAACTATATAGTTGCATGCTTAACATGGTGTCGGAACTATTTTATATACATGTCTGTGTGTGTTTATATATATATATATATATGTGTGTGTGTGTGTGTGTGTGTGTATATATGTGCATGCTTGATTAATGAGCTCTATATAGCGTTCTAATCAATTTTTCATTAATCTTTATGTTCTGATATACAGCACACTTTATCATGTCGCAAAATGTTTGTCAAAGTTTAGTTTTGGTTTTAGCTTTTGTGCATGAAAATGACAAGGTCGAAAGACAAATTTTATTAATGAAGTGAAGCAAGTTATTTAAGATCCTAAATACCCAATTCATGAACTGAAAATCAGTTAAAACCCTAGATTTATTGTAGAGAGACATTTTTCAATGCAAAATAATATCTACTATTCATGAGGAACTGCTCAATTATGTCCACGAACTCAATAGTGTGATTTTTAAAGAATATGTTTTTTTTTTCCTTCTAAAGAATATGTTTTTTTTTTCCTTCTAAAGAATATGTTTTTTTTTTTCTTCTTCTTTTATAAACTTGTTTTTTGATTGAAATACATCCCTTCTAAAGAATATGTTTTTTTTTTCTTCTTCTTTTATAAACTTGTTTTTTGATTGAAATACATCAGAAAGTGAGATCGAAGTTCATAATTTAAATCCAACAAACTAAGAAGTCAGGTAGGGTTGGAACTTGGAAGTAGTACCAACGTACTGTCACATAATTAACAGATTGAGAATCTGAATCGACAAGTCAGAGTTACATCAACAAGGTCCAATCAAATCAAAAAAACTGTTTTTCAATGGACATATATATATATTTTTTTTAAATGGACATAATTAAAAGAAAAATTCTACTACAATACGTCAATACTGATAAGTCAAGTTGTACGTCATTTGAATTTGTATAAAATTACGTAAAAATATAAAATACGAAGATTTCATAATTAGAAAAACTCAACCTATCAATACCGTAAACATACTAAAATATCTCCCAAATTAAAAATCTTGAACGAACAAATTTTTTTAAATGGACATAATTAAAAGAAAAATTCTACTACAATACGTCAATACTGATAGGTCAAGTTGTACGTCATTTGAATCTGTATAAAATTACGTAAAAATATAAAATACGAAGATTTCATAATTAGAAAAACTCAACCTATCAATACCGTAAACATACTAAAATATCTCCCAAATTAAAAATCTTGAACGAACAAAACACCACACACACATATACATATATATATATATATATGCACCCAAAGCCACCATATATATTACCTCTCTTCAGTTCTCTCCCTCTCTTATTATCATCCTATCATGACTTCACATTGGTGGGTCATTCTTGGACCCTAGCTCTCTGGTGGGTATATTGCTAGTTTTTATTATTATTATTTCTTTAATTTTTGCTAGTTAAGATAGCACTTACAATATAATACGTTTGTATTGAATTTAATTGCTTAAGTCTTTAATTATATATAGAATTAATTCACAAACATATATTCCTTAATTGTGTATTGTAGTTCAATATGTTCCTAAATTCTAAAATAAATTCATTTAAAAACATCCCCTTGGTATGAAATTAATCCTCAATTTTATAATATTTCTGCACACTTTAAGTTAAAAAATGGAGTAAAAATAATATATATATATATATATAAAATATTAATTCTGTACGAACTTTGGACAGCTGTGCAGTGAGTTGGTACATAGAAGCAGTTAAGGGATTGGCATGTGAGATATTGGATCTGATGGGTGATGGGCTTTTGATGTCAGACAGAAAGCTCTTCAGCAAACTCATTAACCACACTGACAATGACTCTCTCTTCAGACTCAATCACTACCCCAACATCAACACTGATCACCATGATCATCATCATCATCATCATTACCATCATCATCACAGCTTCAAGGTTGGCTTTGGAGAACATTCTGACCCTCAGATGTTGACCCTCCTCAGATCAAACGATGTTGGTGGCCTCCAGATTTCCTTGCAGGATAAGGTGTGGGTCCCTGTCCCCCCTGACCCCACTGCCTTTTTGGTTAATGTGGGTGACGTGTTACAGGTTGGTACTACTATCCTCTACTTATATATATATATATGTATATATGTATATATGTATATTCTAACATAACATATAACATATACTAGAAAGCCTTAGCCTTAGCTTACCAATTAGCTAAATAAAACAAAAAAGATTTTTTTATTTTTGATAATTGAAAGGAATCTGTTGTGTCATAAATAATAATGATGATAACAAATTCTAAAAAGTGACCTGGATAAGGAGTTTGAAACTGACTGAAGAAATCTACGTGAGAGAGTTGGGGGTGTGTGTAGTCAGAGACTGAGTAGTCACTGCCCAAAAACACTGACTTTGCCACTTGATGCTATGCTGGTGGACCCCACTCTTGTCGATCTCAATTTTCTCTCTCTAATTCTCTATCCAAACCAATAGGATCTCTCCTCTTTAATTTGTTGGGAACTGGGATTTTTGGTTCTTTGATGTGATGACCAACTCAACTATCCTTTCCTTGCACCCAATTTGGCCACGCTTATAAAACGTCCTTTTGATTCCCATTTCTGATTGCAAACTATTTCAATGACAAACATGAGAGCAATACCAAGGAGAAATTTGTTCTAAAAACAAATATTTTCTTAGTAACCAAGATCTTGTTAAATAGGATTTTAATGTGATTTTTTTTAAATAATTTAAAATTATATGTTACCTACTGATAATGATCAGCACCTTTACTGATCATCATCATACATAACTCGCAGTTTTAACGTATTGACGATAATGATCATTACTTTTACTGATACTCTCAGTTTTAACGTATTGACATATACAAGGATAGTTATCATTTTGTAAAATTATATGCTTCCGCAACATGGAATATTGCATGTGTGTGAAATATTACTATTACTATTATATGCGTGTCATTTAATTATTAAAACTTTTTTGTGGTATTAATTGCAATGACTATTTATAGGCAATGACAAACGGAAGATTTGTGAGCGTGAGACATTTTTTTTTAAATAATTTAAAATTATATGTTACCTACTGATAATGATCAGCACTTTTACTGATCATCATCGTACATAACTCGCAGTTTTAACGTATTAACGATAATGATCATTACTTTTACTGATACTCTCAGTTTTAACGTATTGACATATACAAGGGTGGTTATCATTTTGTAAAATTATATGCTTCCGCAACATGGAATATTGCATGTGTGTGAAATATTACTATTACTATTATATGCGTGTCATTTAATTATTAAAACTTTTTTGTGGTATTAATTGCAATGACTATTTATAGGCAATGACAAACGGAAGATTTGTGAGCGTGAGACACAGAGTAACAAACTCATACAACGACAACGACAACAACAAGTCGAGAATGTCAATGGCATACTTTGCGGCTCCTCCTCTAAATGCATGGATTAGGGCTCCCACAGAAGTGGTGGTTGCACAAGATAAGCCTTGTCTTTTTAGGCCTTTCACTTGGGCTGAGTACAAGAGGACCGCCTACTCTCTACGCCTTAATGAGAGTCGTCTTAACCTCTTCATAGTGTCTAAAGATTGTGATGACCACATTATCAAGGAAACAATATATAATATATAATATATATGTAATGTGATCATAGTTTTCCTGTTTTGGTTAGTTTGCTTTTATATATATATATATATATATATATATATATATGTTTTAGTGGAGTTAGAGTGTTTGGGGGTTCTGTTTGATTAGTTTTGTGTAGAGTACTACTCTACTGATTTTGATGTACTATCCTTTCTGTTTGCTTTCTGCTTAGATATGAAGAAATCCAAGTCATCCACTTTTTTTTTTTTTTTTTTGGTCGGAACGGGAAAAGATCGATGCTTCTACTAGCTGTTTAATAGAAAATTTTCGTCTTGTGGTTTAATTATTTATTACACTTTTATATTCTCTTTCAATACAAGCACTATTGATTTTAGTATTGTCATGCTTCAAACAGGGACAAAAATAAATTCATCAAAGAGAGGCTTTTCTAACACATGGCTACAAATTGTTCGTCATTAGTCAATGCTTGTGGTGGTTTTAATTACAACAATTAGAAATTACTTGGTCTCTTTATTCCATTTTTTACTTGTAAAAGATATGGAACAAGATCCCTTTTTTATTTTGTTAAAAGGTCTTAACATACAATGCTATATCATAAAGTTTACGCATTGCTGTGTTTGCTTTCTTTAAAAACAAACAGACCCGTAGTTCTGGCTCTTTACATGTTTAAATCTCCTCACTTAAGCTGCAATCACTTCTACAACTTAAGTAATTCAATAAGTCGGAAGTCATTCATAGATGGATGAAGCTTCTAAGTAAGATATTGTTTGTATTCTCGAGTTTTATAGAGTTCCAGAGTAATTTCTTGCTGTAAATTTTTGTGAAAGCTCTATGAACAAACACAACAGATTCTTCATTTGATTTCTGTCTTCAAACTAATATAATCAAACACCTATAAATCAAATGGTCCGTTCATCAATATTGTAAATGAAAAAAGTATAATTGTGAGAGAATACCAAAAACACTCAACTGATAATGGTGGGCTGGTCATTTATATTAAGCTAACTAGGTTCTCCAGGCTGCCCTTTTTTACTCCGTCATGCTCGCTTCAAATTGCCTACCGCATTTCTTAATTGCCCGTTTGGAGAGCTTTTGCTTTTACTTGAGTATATTTGGTAGGAAAGAAAAGTAGAAGGAAGGAAGAAGGTGGAGGGATTTTGGGAGGGAAAATGAAAATGTAAGTTGTTTGGTAGGAGAGAAAAAAGAAAGAAAGAGAAAATTAAATGGAAAATAATACATGTGGGTCCTACTATTTTTTTTCTTTCCACGGAAAATGAGGACAACTCATTAAAGTGAGCAAAATTACTAAATTACTCTTTTCTCCATCAACATCCAAGCAAAAAATTTAAGAGTATAAAAGTAATTTACAAGTAAGATTTTTTCTTTCCTCCCAATTTAATTTCCAATACCAAACAGGTAAAGATAAGCTCATTTTCTTTCCATCTTCTAATACCAAACAACATAAAAGAAAATCAATTTCTTTTTCATCATTGCTATTTTCTATCACTTTCATATTTTCTTTCTATCATATTTTCTTTCATTCATACCAAACATAGTTAGTCAGTAGAATAAGATACGTAAAAATTGCAGCCTTTCAGTTAAGTGTTTGAAACCACATTTTTTAAAAGAGTTTAATTGGTCAAAACAAAGTTTAAACTTTCTACTAATAAATAAAAGTGTTGTGTGAAGCTTATGCCTTAACGGAACTCTGGTGTGGAAGCTTAAAGCAGTTTTTTGGAAGCTCTTCAAAATCAGCCTCACTCTTACTCTTACTCCTTTTTTTTTTTTTTTGGTTATGGTTGTTGCATGGCCACATGTATGGCATTACAATAAAACACTTTACTAAAACGTGGTTTGATTATGTGCTAATCACTTTTAGAATATTTTCTTGTAGGAGTTGCTTTGTGGAACAACATATTATTAACAAAAAAAAAAAAATCTGAAAAGAATAGAATAAGTTCACCAGACGCCTGTACATGCTAAAACTTTCCCATAATCAAGTCGATAACAACAACAATCCAAAACTCACAAGCCAACTGGTCTACATTAATTGTCATCGGATCAATCAAAACAGTTGATGCATTACATCAATGGCTAACAAGAAACCAAATTCTGTAAAACCAAATTAACCACTTAGTTTAGCCCCTATGTATCAACCTGAAAAAGAAGAAAGTGGAAAAGAAGATTATTATACTCGTACAAGAAGACAGCTTAATACAGTATGTCACACACAGTATGTCACACAGTTAATACATAAATGAAACTGTTCTTCTGATATTTGGATGGTAATCCCTACAATATCAACCCCAAATGGGGCAAAAAAGAAAAAAACAATTATGGTCCGTACAAATCGGTTAGGAGGCTTCTCTAAAACATAGCCTTCTGAGTGGAATTTGTTTGTCACTTACAAGAGTAACAACAATCCCGAATATAAATTTTACATCTTGGTCAATTTAAACCTGGAAAGCATGAATTAATGTCTTCTGCTTGTCATAGAGGGAGTCACCCACAAAACCTGTTCTTGAGCTGAGTGTTCTTCTACAACTTTATTCATTTTAATTATATGACCACGGGGTATCGTTAGACCTGAATTTGAGATCTCGAAGCAAAGCGTGAACACTTCCTTCGACTAGTTTTGTTAAGCACGCAGACACAAGTCTCAAGCAGCTCGTAATCCTCTTCCCACAACAACAATGATGCCTTCTCCGGGTTCTCCAAAAGCATCTTTGAGGCCAGAAAACCAGCGATCGTCCACGTTTGGTAAAGCCGGGATTGCTTGCCTATAAATCTCCCGCTTTTTGTGTCGTAATATTCAGGCCATTGATCTACAGCAAGCCTTTTCTCTGCCAAATCAACAGCCTTTCGCGCCAATTCTGGCCTCCCCATCTTGATGCAGGCCAATGTGAACTAACAATTGAAAATTTGGCCATTAGACAAATCAGTTTAATGGAGGTACTATCATATGACACTATTCAAAAGCACTTTCAAAGCCAAAGAAAACAAACAGGAGACTGCTTTTTAGATGAAAAGATCTTTACCTGCCATAAGAGTGTAGGCCAGGACCCGCCATTGTGGTATGACCATGGGCTGTGCAAGCAAATTAGAGTCTTATCGTAAGATAAAAATATTTAACCAAACAAATAACAGAAATTAAAAAAAAAAAAAAAGAAAAAGAAAGTTCTGGTCATAAAACAAGAAAGTAAGCCTAGAGAAGCTCACGTATTCTTTGGGTCACCGCCGGTGGTTATCCTCCATTCTTCATACTCCAAAGCAGGGTAGCAAATCTTAAGAGGCATCTGCCCCATAAGATCATCCCATTTGGCCTCGATCAAATTCAAAATTCCCTCATTCTGTTTCTGGGTACCTAGGGACGAAACAATAGCCCAAAGATTTCCCAGAGTGAAGAACCTAAAATCCATATGAGCGGGCTGAAGATTGCCAATAAGGTAGCCACCTTCCTCCGGAATCCAATCAACCAGCCACGAAGGTATCTGATCAGGGTAGATATTGAACTTGTTGATAGCATCTGTAGAATATTCCTCCGTCTTGTAACGATAAATCTCATTTATCTTCTTCATATCAACCCAATAGTACTCTCTGATGTGAAATGAAAGTGCGCTAAGGCGATTGTTGATTGCAGCGACCAGATTTTTGGTACTATCATTCACAATGACCATCTCGCGGGAGCATCGTAAAGCTGCATAGAATAAAGCCTGCAACATGTACAATTATGTGAGAGATGATACATAGTTACAGGAGTGACAAAGTCAAGAGGTTCAGCGTGTCAGCATACTTGGATTTCAAGAGGGTGTCCATGGATCCCCATCCGTCTATCGATCATGCAGGAACCATCAGTGACCAGGAGAGTGGGAAACATGTCAAAGCCATCACTCAAACAAAGGTTAAGGATCAGTCTTATGCCTGTCTGAACATCCACCCTCTCTTGCAATGCATAGTCCCCTGTGATCTTTCCATATGCCCTCAGCAAGATGATCCACCACAACCCTGTCAATGTGATTGTAAATCATCTCAGCTTCTCCACTTCTACATCATCATATTCTACTTCTATCATGGACACACACACACAAACACACCATCGAGATGATCAATGATGCCATTGTGCTTCCTATTATTGATCGACAACAGATCAGAGGTCTTTGGCTGATCATCAGAGCTTGTAAAATGTACAGTTTCTTTTAAAGTTATAAACCATAGTGTTATGGGAGAGGTTGAATATATTTTTCTAAATATGAACCTTCTCTCTCCCGATTAAAATTCCAAAACCACCGCGAATAACTCACAAGCTTCAGGTATTTTATTCTACTCTACATACCTAATTTTAATTGTTAAAATTTACGGTCTCTCTCATCTCTTTCTCATTTCATTAAGTACTCTTGCACGTTGTAATGTACGTGTACAGAGATTGGCCTCAAGGTTAAGATAAAATGTAGAACTTATATAGACAATGGTGGTTGGTTCATGCATTAAAAAGAAAAAACAAAACAAAACAAAAAAGAGGAGCCTACGGCCATGTTGGTATTTTCTATTTACTAAAAAGAAAAAAAGAAAAAAAAAAGAAAAAGAAAAAGAACAAGAAAAACCCCCACCCAGTAGGTTCACTGGGAAACATTATGATGAAACCATGCAATTAACCATGTTGGTATTTTCTTATTACTAATTATCACCTTTAATCGGACAGCCTCAAGTTTTTATTAGAGCAGCAAACTAATAAGCAGTAACTTGTTGCAAGGTTCAAAAGAACAAAATAAATTAACATGGTGTTTGCAACTTTATTCGAGTATGTTATCATGCATGAGGTAAAATATAGTGGATATCAAGATAGTAGAGTGTTCATCACCAACAGTTAGCAATGAAACAAAGATATAGTTGAAAATTTACCAGAGTCAACAGGTGCAACACGGCCAATGGCCGATTCGCCAAAGTCAGGATCTAGAATTTCCTCAAATGCTCCATCACTTCCGTCAAGGGGCACGGTTCTAACTTTGAAACTTGCTGGCATTAGCCCTTGCCCAGGGCTGTGGCAGTCCACAGTTTTTTCCCAACTCTAACAAAATGATCAGAAAACAAGCACCACTTAATATTACATCAAAGACGTAATAAAGAAAACCAAACGATAATCAAAGTAACCAACGCAGTCAATGAACCACAAAGGAACTGTGAGATACCTGTAATTGCAAAGTGTGAAGCAAAAAATTCTTGACGATCTCCGGTTCTCCATTGAGCAAGAAAGCAAGTGCCGATGGAACGAAATCCCGAATGAACACCTGATCATAATTGACAGGCTGCTTGTCCACCGGAACATTCGCAGCGACAGTTCCCACAGGATGACCGCAGTACATAACTACAGAGTCCCATAGCAACTTCCACGCCTCCTTCTCAATCTCGGGCACCTCTCTCTCAACCTTAGTCTCATTCAAACTCTTGGAACTATCTACGTTCACACTCGGATCTAGAACTTCCTCTAATCCAGATGCCTCTTCTTCCTTAACCACGTCACTCGGACCCGTTTCAATTCTCTCAATCACCAAAGGCTTCACATTCAAGCCTCCTTGAACATAAATCCTCTCAAAGCTCTTCTCATTAACATGAGCATCCACCGAAGTCGAATGGTTCCGAAAATCGGATGCTACATTCCTTACTATCAAATGACTCCTCCTACTCCTACTACTTCTACTACTAACCCAATTATAACCACCATCCCCAATGCAATTCCTCTTAAAAATCTTAGATTTGACCCAATTCGAATCGGAAACCCTAAAACCCTTCCGATTCCGATCTGACAACCGTATGTACCCTACAATCTGAGAATCAGAGCCACCGGAACGGCCATCAAAGGCCGATTCCGGTTGAGATTTCGGCAAATTTCTGATGTTCAATTTCAAAGGCGAAAATCTGAAAAGCGAACAACTTTCGCAACCAACCACTAAAATCCTACGGCTGGGTTTCATCGTGGAAATTCCAATACAACTGCTGGTATTCATTCTCAGTGTATCAAGAAAATCACACTCTGAGATTACCCAAAATAAAATCTTTTTTTTTTTTTGTTCTTTTTATAAAATTGATATACACAGCTCTGTTAATCTCGGAAAAATTAGAAAAACAGAGTATACAAATACCTATTAACCTATATATATATATATGTATGTATAAACGATCTATATATAGAATCAAAAGAGAAAGATTATATATGTGTATATATAATTATGTATATGAATTTGAAGGAAACTGAGAAAATAAGAGATTAGATTTCCTTACAACTGTTCTGAGCAGAAAATGGTTTGAATGATGAACAGTTTACAAATGGTTGCGAAGAGGGAGAAGCTTTTGGGAATTTTATAGACTCGGAGAAAGGAAAGTTCAACGAATGTCTTCAAAAAATAAAATATTAAAAAAAATTTCATACTTTATTTTAAGATTACAGTTCTGTCCCTGCACGTGTAAGGCGCTTCAATACTGGTGCCATGGAATTACGGAAATCGTGCAGGGTGTTGGTGGAGACTTGGACGGGGATTAATACGGTAATTGGGACTAAAAGGAACGGGTATAATGGTCATACGACGTGGTATTTGGAAATGGATAAGATTTGTCGGTGGGGGACCAGAACTTTTGCCGGGTCTTGAAAAATGTGCGGAAAAAAAAGTCCCAAGTTTTGTTCCGTCTTTTTTCTTTTTCCTTTTCTTTCTTTTTTTTCTTTTCTTTTCTTTTTTTTTTTTAACTTTTTTCAACTATAAATGTGGAAAAGAAGAAGGAAATAGAAACCGTTGCCGTCAGGTTTTCGCATATACACGTGGGAGTTTTTAATTGGTCCACTTAGATTTCTACAGTTGGAATAATACTAAAATATCTATAATGAGAGAAACGTTTAAAAAGAAATCGCTAATTCTCGTTCATTTCGTCAATTCGAGTTTTATTAGAGTAAAAAATTTTCAAAAATAGTCACATTTAATTTTTTTATTACAGTAAAAAATTTTCACACAAAATTACATCTCAACTCGAATTACAAACTTAAATTAGCGAAATAAACGGGCCTGTTGTGGTCATATTTCTCAAAATTGTAAACAAAAATAAATGAGACAAATAAAAATATTAATTTCATTTCTTAAATCGCTAATCCTCGTTCATTTCGTCAATTCGAGTTTTACTACAGTAAAAAACTTTCAGAAATAGTCACATCTAACTTTTTTATTACAATAAAAAATTTTCACACAAAATCACATCTTAACTCGAATTACAAACTTAAATTAGTGAAATAAACGGGCCTGTTGTGGTCATATTTCTCAAAATTTTCATTGTAAACAAAAATAAATGAGACAAATAAAAATATTAATTTCATTTCTTGAAGGAAAAAAATCTCATTTTATTTTTGAGGTAAAAAATTAAAAAAAAATCTGAAAACTTTTTTTATGTGACATTTTTTATTTTAGACGGAAACGCGTGGTTGACGAACTCTTTGTCGCAAAGTCATGGGCGTGTCTTTGCGGATGAGCTAGGAGAGTACACGACACGCTCCAATAACAGATGTCAAAACTGCCACGTCTGAATTATTATTATTATTATTTTCTTGCTAATTGTCTGAATTATTTGTAATGATTTCAGACAGAAAGCCAGATTCCTCATTTCTGGGTGGGCCTACCATGAATTGGGCTTGGAAAGTGTGTCCACTACTTTACTTTGGGCCTAAAACTACTGAGGCTTGGAACTGGGTCAGGTTGAAGCAATTAGGATTTCTGTAAAGTATCATGGTAGGATACTAGCGTACTATCAGGCTATCATGGGTTGCCAAAATTTTAATATCAATGTAGAACACCTCTAAGTACTCTGGTAGGATATCGATGTTCACAAGCTGACTATTGTTGGTGCTGAAATTTTTAGTATCACAGCATGATACCTCTATGTATCATGATAGGATACCAAAGGTTATGAATAAATGCTGTTAGTATCTTAATTCTTAAGATGATAGTATTAAGGTGTTATTTGGTATTCTTAAAATGATTACATTGAATTTTCTTTAAATGACATTTTATAATGAATCAATTAAGACAAATTCGGGACATTCTTGTAAACAACATTTTAATAAGTATCTAATATCTTGTCTCCTTCTCTTGGGCTTTTTGTGGTGGAGGCTTGGAATTTGGTGATTTATAAGGCTTAACAGCTCAACTTTTTTTTTTATCAAGGGAAAATTTCATATTAGTACCATGTGTTTTAACATAATTATTTTTTAGTATCTTATATTTTTAATAATTTTAAATTGGTACTCTAATGTTTTAGAAAATTATCTTATAGTATTTTGAGGTTATTTTTTAGAATGTAAAATGTCAAAGTCATCCTTCTCATTAATTAATCAAAAAACTAATAATAAATTTTTAAAAAAAAAAATTCTGAAATTTTTTTAAACATTTAAAAATTAAAAATAAAATAATGCTTTAAATTAAAGAATATTTTTTTAAACTTTTTTTCTAAATTTATTAGTTTTTGGAAAAGTTATGAGAATGTAAATTTAACATTTTACGTCTCAAAAAAGGACCTCAAAGTACTAAAAAATATTTTTTTAAAACATCAGGGTACAAATTTAAAATTACTAAAAATACATAGTACTAAAAGACAATTATGTTAAAACACAGGATACCGATATGAAATTTTTCCTTTTACTAATCATAAAAAAAAAGAGATCTGGTGGTGCACTTCATCTCTCCTGACCCCTACGGCTATGCAATAATTTCAGAGACTATTGAGTTTGTAAAAAGAACCTGAACTAATCTGCCACTGACCATCCACTCAGTTTTCATTCTCCCCACCTAAAGTGTGATCCACACGGCCCATTTAATTATCTTAAGAGGCTAAGCAACCTTCTTTCGGAATAAAGACTCAAACTCTTAATAGATGAATAAAGAAAACCTAATAAACACGTGTTTATCATTACACCACGACCCTTGGTAGTCAACAACTCAACTTGAGTGGGCTTCTTTCATCTCATATGCGGTAAAGATTTTTACCATTTATGTGAGCAAGTTGTTGTTTTATGAATAAGGGAGAAAAAAAAATTAGAATAACAATTTTAAACAATAAAATAGGTTAGTCAAAGTATTTGTGATAAGATGAAACCGCATATCATAGTTTTTATGAGGCCATTACGATATCTTCTCGATTTTATTTCTCTTTAGAGAGCCATTCATATATTTTTAAAAACTACTTCACCTGTAACTATATCATTATTATTCGCCAAAAAAATCTTCACCGATAACCTAATATAAGACCTATTTTTATTGCCTATATGTGTGTTGTCTTAAATAATTGAGGGATGAATGTACCTACTTTATTTTCTAAGAAAATGAATTGGTACTTTTATTGCTTCAATTATGCAATATCGCAGCTCAGGCTTAACTAACCTGTTTATTACACACAATTGGAATATATATATTTAGCAAAAAAAAAAAGAATTATTTTATTGCTTTATACTTGGGGACTTAATTTGTATAGCGATGAAATGCAATTATATCTCTTGTTAGAAAAATGACACAAAAATTTTTATTGTTTAAATATGATCAGTACTAACGAAGTTGTTGATTAATATTCCATAGAAAATATGGCATCTAGTAGTATATTTAAAATTTGCCCTAATTAAAATTCAAACTGCTGTTGCTAGCCCATTAAGTAATATAAGTAATTCAATTTTTAATTATCAGGAAAGCAACGGAACAACGAATTGTTACTCTAAAACTCAATGATTATAATTTTTTTTTTTAATTTAATGGTCAACACATCCAAGTTATGATTATAATTAGAATTTTACATTTTTTGCTTCATTTTTTTTATATGTTCTGGGAATTCTTCATCGCTTTAAAGCATAGACGTCAAATGTACGTTTTATATAGAGGAGAAAATAAAGCATCTAAATAGTTTGGTGAGCACGTTCTATCCAATTCTCGAACGACTTTACATGTATGGGAATATGCCGATGCTACCACATTGGGTGCCTGGTGCGTTTGGTTGGTGGATTCGTGTCATGATTCGAATCATGGTTCGTGATTTGTTACAGTATTTTCTCTCATAAAAAACACACGTAAATTGAGAATGGTTCTGAATCATGATTCTAAATCCATGAACCAAACGTCCACAACTTTCGAGCTTGGTAAGATTAGAGTTGAAGTGGAGTAAGTTACAACTTGATCCGCTTGAATCTCTCCAAGCTTTGCCCAATCTAGTAGGGTTAGAAAATATCCTTTGGTGAAAATCATCACATGAAATCTAGGAAATGTTATGTTTGGTATGAGGATTCATGTCATAGTTCGAATCATAGTTTGTGGCTCACTACAGTGTTTTTTCTCACAAAAAACACACGTAAACTGAGAATGGTTATGAATCATGGTTTTGAATTCATGAACCAAACGTCATGTAAGAATCAATAAACCAATAAGCATAAACATATATGAATCCATGACGATAAATTACTCTCTAGTACAACTCATATTCGATAAATTAGCTTATGACGAAGAGGAGTTGTGCTTCAAAGCGGGAGGATTCAAAATGCTCAAGCATTTGACATGTATGGATTTGAGGAGATTGAGGCGAGTGAAGGCAGAAGAAGGGGCTATGCCGCATCTTCAAGAACTATGCTTTGAAGACTGCAAGTTACAAAAGAAAGTTGTGTTCATAAATATGGGAGATCTATTTGTGGAAAGGATATGTTCAAGCAATCAATTAGAATCGGACATTTCAAGAGCGCAACATGTGCCAAATGTTTTTGTTGGTTCTCGAGATGCCAGTGGAGTAGCGAAAGGATATAAATATCACAGAAGCAATGAGGTAACACCTCGTTTATTATACAATATTCATGTCAGTATTCATTTTTCATCAAGTGTTTACAAGTTCACCTATTTCTTCGCTCCATGGAATGAGATGAATTCTTTATTTCACTATCTTTTAATTTTTCTTCTTAATATAATGAATTCGTTAATTTCAAGATCATAGAAGAGGTTATTTAAAAGAACCAGACTCCATTTATCACAAAAGTATGTATAATGAATTCGTTAATATATTTTTCATTCTTTCTTACTGCACAATGCATTGAATTCGTCATAAATCCTTCTTTTAATATATTTTTCATTCTTTCTTACTGCACAATGCATTGAATTCGTCA